CATAATTACAAATTACTTCTTGCCAGTAATGAACACATACAAAGCTTTGTGTTTCTTCTAAAGGAACTTTGTATTTTTGATGAGCAGCCACAATGTTATTAATGAGCTGATTTTCCTCTTGTGTTAGTTCCACGCTCTCCTGAATCTGTAAGAAAGTACAGGGGCAAAACTATACTGTATACTTATTAAATAAGACATCATCATTAACAAAACAGGAAATTTCACTTTTCCAGATCTAGTGGTGGATGACACAAGTTTGTTGTTTACCCCTTCCTCTTTCACTTTGATGTTAGAGCAAAAACTGTTATTCTTCTGTTTAAAGTTCTTTTGAAGCCTCTTTGATTTGCATTGGATTTCTGTAAGCAAACCTGTAACATTAGAAAATTCATATAAAATGTTTTAGGTATAGCAAATTATGGGATTTGATGAAAATTGTCTTGTACACAAATATCATAAACTTGTCTTTTCACAAAGAACCTTTCTTTTTTGGTGAGCATGTACAACAGCAATTAAATTGACTACATTACTCTCTCCTTTTCCTAACACAACTACCTGTCTACTTAAAATTACATAGTCGTCCTGGACATAAATTAATATTAATTTTGCATCTCCAAATTATAAATTTAGACCTTTTTATATTAGTGAAATTTCCACATTAATTATATCTTGGAAGCAACAGAATGTTGATTGGTACATTGAAGGGAAACTCCTAATTTATAATTCTGCTTTTTCTAGATGAATTATATAACTTTAGGTTAAATAACATGAAAATACAAGGATTTCCAATTAAGAAGAAAATATGATTATTACCAAAGTTAGAGCAATATAGTATAGAACAGAGTTTACTGAAATAATTACCTAGATTGGTAACTTGCTATCCTAACTTAGCAGTTGCTAGAGAAATAGCTTAAATTCAGACAAATATGTTATGTTCAAATATATTCAAAATAACTTGAAGAATGTATTAAGTTCCCAGCAAGGTAAGAAAAACTAAAATCCCTCTCAATAAACAAAAAACAAAAAAACAATAACACTTACATTCTTCCAACATTCCTACCGCCTTACACTTTTTTAGTCTACACTCTTGACATTTTCTACGCATGTACATGTCCATTTCACAGTGACCACCATTCTTGCAATTATATACTGCATTTTTGGTGATGCTACGTCGAAAAAACCCTAATAACAAAAAGATTTTTTTAAAACTTTATTAAGTAGGTATTTTTAGTTACTTATTTTTATTAATATATAGCTCCATAGTAAAGTAATAAAATTAACTAAGTTACTTCAGTAAAATGTTTTTCCCCCAATAAGAAAGTTTGGTTTAATATACATTTATCTGGATAATTGTTTTAATCCTCTTCTGTTTGATATATTTTATTCCAAGGTTGTTCCTGTCCATAATTTATCTGAAGATTAAACTAAATAAACCCAACACATTAAAATAACTCTATTTTACTATGGTTATAGTATATCATCCAGAAGATTTTTAAAACTATGTTTTACAGAATATCAAGATTCTGTGAAACATCTCTCAAGGTTCCCTAGAAAGAATATGTGCTAATGTAAAATAAAACTATAAGGAAAGCCTTTCTGTTTCTCTCCTCACATTTCCACCTCAACTCGTAAAGGAAGAGATATTCATCCAAACTTAATTCCTTTGTCCTTCTCCCTTTTTAGCATTTCCCCAGATGAGAAAATATTGCTAATTTATTTGGTCCAAGATGTTGAATGGGCCATGAGTGTGTGTGTGTGTGTGTGTTAGGGAGAGGAGGTGGAGTGTCTACATTTTCCTAAATCCATGCATTGCAGTCTCTTCCCATTTCCTCTGTCATTTTCCATTCCTGTGCAATAATTGGGCTATCTTCATCTTATTCCATTCCAAGCAGAGAAGTTGATTAGTCAACTAGAACCCTCTTAGAACCTTGCAATACTCTTTATCCATAGACATACTTGAGAGTGAAAGTTTCATAACTCTGACTCAAAAACGGGAGTAGAAAGCTCAGTTTGTGTTTCCAGAACTATGCCTCATTTTTCAGCTTAGTTTGAACAGCAAGGCCCTGCATTTTTATGACTAAGCAAATACTGGCCCAGCTATTCCATTTGTAAAGCTTTTACCTTTATTCCCCTTGATCTTCAGCTGTCTATTCTTTGACAGGAATGAGTTGTGAGATTCTGACAATAAAACTTCACCCTGAACTTCTAACAGACATGTTTACCTAGTGCTGTATTGGTCTAATCATTTCCAGGTTCTGCCCCCAATACTGCATTTGTGAATTAAAAAAAGAAGTATTTCAAAACCTCAAAACTTCATCAAGGATTATTTTGCTCTTTGAAAATGCCATTGTCAATGATGGTCTTCACTTAAAGATTTCTTCATTTGTTTTCAAAAGAGCATTCCGAAAAGATAGCATCTTAGAAGTCATTTAATTCAAATTTCTTCCTAATCCATAAATTATCAGCCACATGAGAAGATGTAATTGTTAAAATTGACATTGTTTTAACAGACATATTCCATTCCAACATCAGATTCATCTAGGAACATGGAAACTTTTTGCTACATAAGTGTTTTGAAATTTATATTTAAATGTAAAAGTCTTCGAAATTGAAAAGAAAACCCAGTCAAAACTTCATTACATTCCATGTTCATGTCTTTGATCCCACAGACTGATCACCTTTAAACACATCAAGGACTCTCCTTGGTTTTATTTTTCACATTTTAAAAAGTAAGAATATTCTTACATGCTTAAAATTTCATCACTCTTCAGTGAACACTAAGATTAAGTTTTGTTTTAACTTTATCCTTACCTTTGCAACCTTCACAAGTAAGGGCATTATAATGATATCCTGACGCTTTATCACCACAAACTACGCAGAGTTCTCCCTGTCCCTTAATTCGAATAGAAGAATGAGTTATTCTGGACCTTTTTATTCCAAGGTAACCATCTTCAGCATCATGGGCAACCACATACGTGGATTTATTTAATTCACAGGAAACAAGTCCATACTCTCCACCATTGAACTGTGGATCCAAGCGATAAGTGTTGAAATGACTTTGTAAAGATTCAGACTGTAGAGCTGGAGGAAACTGGACAGTAGAACATTGGCCATAAGGAGATTCTTGAAAATCAGTGTCATGTAGCTGATAATTGATTTGTTCTGGCAATATATCTAGTATTTTAACATAAAAAAAAACAAACGGTGATAGTCAAAATTCATAATCATTTTCAAATTTCAAAGAGTTTTATATTCAAGAAACACAATTAGTTCAACATGTCCACTATATCCCAGGGACTTGCTCTTCAGCTTGAGAGGCAGACAGTAAACTGAATTGCAATGTATGATAAGTGCTGCCATCCCAGAAGTATGCAGAGGTTGCTCAGGAGCTGGGAGAAAGGGTTGCTCATGGCCTATATACCAACCCAGTCTATCTCCTTAAGTAGAAATGAGTATTTCCCAGAGCTTGGAATGAAAGCTTTTCCCTATCATCTGCATTTTCCTTGTCATGGATACAAATGTTTTCAGTGCAATCAGATCAGTAAAGAAATGAATTAATAATTTATCCAACCCTCACCCTTCACCAAAAAAAAAAAAATCAAACTAAAATACAGTACCAGTTATCTGGTTATTTCCAGCAAAAAAATTTTTTGTTTGAACTCCTCATTTTTATACCTTAGCCATTTGTAGACCTTATTTAAATTACTAGTTTCTTTTTGTTTTGCTGTCTATCAATTCTAACTAGCACTATCTGGAGATAAATTCACTTACCTCACAGGGTGACTGTAAGGATGAAATAAGTATGACATGCAAAAGTATATAATACAAAATGATACTTAATGGATATCTTTATTATTATTATCAGAAGCTCCCAAACACCAACTTACTTTCTGTTTTCAGGAGAGTTACTGAATCTAAATCCAGAAAATTGGGTCCAAAAAGACCCAGGAATACTTAATGTCTCTATGTCTATATCTAGTAATTTTGTACTTTTCCTGGTGCTGAATCACAAGGTGTTTTGATTTATTTTTATTCCCAAAATTCCAAGACTGGTAAACAGTATAATTCCTATTAATTCACATAAATCATTTACAATTTTATAGCAGCCAGTCCAATGCAAAATGTTGAATAAATAACATAATAGCCTGATATAAGAAAAATGTTATCGGGAAAAATAATGTAACTTTTTTTAAACAAGGGGGCTCTTCTTGGCTGAGTATCAAAAGACTGCAGAATACTGGCTAATGTTCCATTGGTATGGAAATCAGAGTTCAAGCTGTAAACGAAAACTGCATTTAAAACGAAATTCATATTGTAATTACAATCTTAGTCTTTTTGGAGAAAATCCCTATTGTCTCCTAAATTCTGTTTTCTATTTCTTTCCCTTTGATAAAAGTCTTATATTAAGATTAAAATTTCAAGTACATTGAATAGCTACTCTGAACTACAATTTCCAAATTACATGTGAACTAGCTTCAGCTAATCCCTAAAAATAACTTCTAATTTGCATGTTAATTCTACTTTTAAAAATTGAATACAATTTTAGACTGTGGTGCTTTTTCTTTACATTTGATTCTGGCTTACAAAATCTTAGTATTTCTGATTTTTGAAATTCATTATATTCTCCAGTCAGGAATAAAGTCACTGGTTAATTTGTTAATTTCTTAAAAAAACAAAAAACAAAAACAAAAAACTGTGATTAAACATAATTCCCACCAAAAAAAGTTTTATTAACTATTTTACTATCATTTTTTGTGACATACCATAGTACTGCACTGGTTCAACAAGACAATACCCATCAGATGCAGTGACATAAGTATTGGCCATTCTTTTGTCCAATTTTCACTTCTTCATTAGTGAATGCTAAAATAGAACCTGAAGGGAACAAAAATTTTGTAGACTATTGGAAAGTGTGATTATCAAATCCATATGATTTTGTAAAATTACAGTACTGTTTTTGAAAAATAAAGAATTTAGTAGACTTTGTACATGAGACATTTATATTTACACTTTAACTGGAAGAATATTGATTTTTCGTATTTCTACGTACCAAATTATTTAATTGTAACAATTTCTTATTGATCAGCTCTTTATAAATAACCTAAATCTTTGTAATAATCATTGTGGCTCATGAAAGGATACCAAGCTTTGGAGTTAGACTTCATATATTGTTTTCACCACTTATTTATGGGTCATTTATTACACCTCCCTGAACCTCAGTTTCCTCATTTGTAGAAGAGAAACAATAAAACACATCTAGCAAAGTTGTTGGGAGAGTTTAATTACATATTTGAGATCCAGCACAGTTCTTGACTTAAACAGAGTCTACAATTATTATTCTAATAGTTTCAAGATCTCAGTGTTCTAAATTTAGATGAATTAGGAAGAAAAAGTAATTTTTCATAAAGAAAATTAAAGGGTAGGGAAAGAATGGCTTTCATAGCACTTTTTTAAATCTTTTAAGTCCTTTGTAAATATTAATTTTTCATAGCACTGTGATATGCTAAACATTAAAACATGGTTCTACTTGACTAATGAAAACAGTTGTTTGATTACTGAAAAGTGTTTTGTTTTTAAAAATAAAGGCCCAAAATGATAAGCTGCTATGAGGAAAACTTATTCAAAATCTAAGACTATACCTTATGGGAAAAGCTATTTTTGCTACTTCCTAGGAAGGAACTCCAAAAATAATGAACCTTTGAATAGACTTAAACAGGAAATCAAAGTTAAAGAAATTGGAAGTTATTAAAAGAAAATAATGGTCACTCTAGAATCCTTCATATTTTATAGCTTTATTCTCTCTATTAGAACATAAAAACTGTTTTCACCATTTAAAAGAACCAAAAAAGAAGAAAATGGGTTTTAAATCATGCCAAAAGATATGCATGACCAACTTCTGAGATAGCTTCTCAGATTATATTGAAAAATCTTTTACTTAGATTTATTTCATGTGTGATGGGTTCATGGCTAAGGTTTCTATATCTCTGAAGGTGATGCAAATAGTAATATTGCCAAAATTTCTCCTTTATTATTTAATAGACTCCAAGCTCCTTTAAAAGCACTTGAATCTTCCACTCTCTGACAGCACAGCAGCAGTCACACAGAGGAAGTATTGGATGGAAAAGATGAAGCAAAGGTGGTGCCCCCAAATAAGTGTGATTTCAGTATGACTTTTTCCTTGAAAAGTAAGAACTAAAATCAATAGGCCCAGCCAGTACCCACTTCTGTTTTCCCTGTATCACAATAGGATAATTGGCTCTCCATACAAAAAGAATTCTGAATGCTATCAGTTTAACCTGTGTGATACTTTTTAGCAACAGTGTTAAGACCTTTCCACACTTCTCTTCTGAGTCTCAAATAGATTTCAGAAAATTCCAAATGCATGTGAAAACTTGAAGTTGTTATTCCCCTTTCTTTTAAAATCGCTGCTTTTATCATTAGGCTTCATTTAATATTAAACATATGAAAACCACTGAAATTTTTAAAGTATTTGGTACTGCTTTGGCATAGACTTTTGCTGAGAGAGATTTCATTTAAGAAGTAATACAGAATAAACCAGAGGTAGCGCATTAAAACAAAACTGGTAATATCCTGGCAAATACACACAGAAGTATCTTAAAACAATGCTGCTGTCAGGGTTCATATCATAAATAACAATGTTCTCAAACCAAATCTTTCCAATACTGAAAAATAAATGCCCCCAAATATTGTCTAAAGCAGAAAATTTTTTTCAGTCTATGAACTACAGGTGTACCTCAGAGATATTGCATGTTTTGGTTCCAGATCATCAGAATAAAGCAAATATCACAAGAAAGCAAGTCACATGATTTTTTTTATTTCCCAGTGCACATAAAAGTTATGGTTAAACTATACTGTAGTCTATTAAGTGTGCAATAGCATTATGCCTTAAAAAATGCATACCTTATTAAAAAATACTTTATTGCTAAAAAAAAATGCTAACCATCATCTGAGGCTTTAGAGAGTCATAATCTTCTTGCTGGTGGAGGGTCTTGCCTCAGTGTTGTTAGCTGCTGATGATCAGAGTGGTGGTTGCTGAAGGTTGGCATGGCTGGGACAATTTCTTAAAATAAGATAATTATGAAGTTTGCTGCATTAATTTAACTCTTCCTGTCAAGAACGAGTTCTCTGTAGCACTGCTATTTGAGAGCATTTCACCCACAGTAGAATTTCTTTCAAAATTGGAAATCAATCCTCTCAAACCCTGCCAGTGCTTTATAAACTTAGTTTATGTAATATTCTAAGTCCTCTGTTATTATTTCAACAACCTTCACAGCATCTTCACCAGGGGTAGATTCCATCTCATGAAGCTACTTTCTTTGCTCATCTATAAAATGCCACTCCTCATCTGTTCAAGTTTTATCATAAGATTGTAGCAATTCAGTCACATCTTCATGTTTGACTTCGAATTCTAGTTCTCTTGCTGTGTCCACCACAACTGCACTTACTTCCTCCACTGAAGTCTTGAACCCCTCAAAGTCATCTGTGAGGATTGGAATCAACTTCTTCCAAACTCCTGTAAATGTTGATATTTTGACCTCTTCCATGAATCATGAATGTTCTTAATGGCATCTAGAAAGGTGAATTCTTCCCAGATTTTCAATTTGCTTTGCCCAGATCCATCAAAAGAATCACTATCTGTGGCAGCTATAGCCTTATAAAATACATTTCTTAAATAATAAGACTTGAAAGTCAAAAGCCATAAGTTTCAGAATGAATGTTGTGTTAGCAGCATAAAGACGAAATTAATCTTGTCTATCTCCATTAGAGCTCTTGGGTGACCAGATGCATTGTCAATGAGCAGTAAATTTTGAAAAGAATGTTTTTTTTCCTGAGCAGTAAGTTTCAACAATGAACTTAAAATATTCAGTAAACCATGTTATAAACAGATGTGCTGTCATCCAGGCTTTGTTTTTCCATTTATAGAACACAGCAGAGTTGATTTAGCATAATTATTAAGGACCCTAGGATTTTCAGAATGGTATCCAGAATGGTAAAGGAGCATTGGCTTCAACTCAAGTCACTAGCTGCATTAGCTCCTAACAAGAGTCAGGCTTCCCTTGAAGCTTTGAAGCCAGGCATTCTCTCTAGCTGTGAAAGTACTAAATGGTATTTTCTTTGAATGTAAGGTTGTTTCATCTACATTGAAAATCTGTTGTTTAGTGGAGCTGCCTTCATTAATGCTCTTAGCTGAATCGTCTGTGTAACTTGCTGTAGCTCCTTCATCAGCACCTGCTGCTTCACCTTGCACTTTTACATTATGAAGATGGCTTGTTTCCTGAAACCTCGTGAACCCACCTCTGTGAGCTTCACACTTTTCTTCTGCAGTTTCCTCATCAATCTTAGCCTTCATAGAATTGAAGGGAGTTAGGGCCTTGCTCTGGATTAGGCTTTGGCTTAAGGGAATGTTGTAGCTAGTTTGCTGTTCTGTACAGACCATTAAAACTTCCTCCCTATGAGTAATAAGGCTGTTCTACTTTCTTATCATTCGTGTGTTCACCGGAGAAGCACTTTTAATTTCCTTCAAGAACTTTTCCTTTGCATTCACAGCCTGGCAAACTGTTTGGCACAGAGGCCTGGCTTTTGACCTGACTCAGCTTTTGACATATCTTCCTCATTAAGCTTAATCACATATAGTTTCTGACTTAAAGTGAGAGACATGAGATTCTTCCTCTCACTTGAACACTTATAAGCATTGTTGGGTTATTCATTGGCCTAATTTCAATATAATTGTGTCCCAGGAAATAGAGAGGCCCAAGGAGAGGAGAGATGGGCAACAGCCATTTAGTGGGTCAGTGAGAACACATACATTTATTGATTAAATTCACTGTTTTATAGGGGCATGGGTTCCTGGTGCTGCAAAACAATTACAATAGTAACATCAAAGATCAGTTATCAGGGGGAGGGTATAGTTTAGTGGTAGAGTGCATGCCCAGCATGCACAAAGTCCTGGGTTCAATCCCCAGTATCTCCATTAAAGATAAATAAATAAATAAAAACCCAATTATCCCCCCCAAAAAACAAACAAGATCAATGATCACAGATCACCATAACAAATATAATAATAATAAAAAAGTTTGAAATATGAGAATTACCAAAATGTGACACAGAGACACAAAGTGAGCAAATGCTGTTGGAAAAATAATGCCAACAGACTTGCCCGATGCAGGGTTGCCACAATTTGTAAAAATCTCAGTATCTACAAAGTGCAACAAAGTGCCATGAAATGAGGTATGCTTATATACCAGGGTATATATGGGAAATATACATAAATAAGCCACTGAGTAAAATGTGCCTTTTAAATTATGAAATATTTACCTATTTTATATGCTATAGTAATAGTTACATTATTTTCTACACAAAATTTTCACTAATTAAATTTTTCTTTATACTTTTAAATGTTTAATAGAAGTATTATAATATGTATTCATGGTAAAACAAATCTTTCAGAGTGTGTTTATAAAATTAGCTTAAAACACTTAAGTAATTATTAATGACATAGAGAGAGATATGTAATCAAAAACTTCCTATCCTATTAAAATAAAGAGAAAAGTTACAGTGGGCTTGGAATGATTCATTTGGTTATCTTTCCCAGTAAATATTTACTTAAAGAGAAAATAACTCAGTTCAGAGAGGAGATTTTATCAAGAGGATCAATTTGGCATGGGCAAAGTCTATATTTTTCTTTAACAAATATGACTTTATAAAAAACCGTGCTTTTCACAGATCATGATAGCCATGTTACTGAAAAGCTGCCTAATTGCATAAATGAATTTGCATATCCTCTGCTTTAACCATAAATTGTCCTTAGTAACTCTTCATATATCTTCAACCTTAACAGGAAAAACGTTGATTTCTGAAAACTACATCTGTATGTTAAAGAATTTCACAGTTTTTACATTTTTACTCTTGCAATATATGTCATTTGAATCATGAATAATTCACTGCTTAAAATGGACATAATTGAAAAGTAGATTGCTTCACAAGGAAAACATTTAAGTTTTCATAGTAGCCTCTACTCAAAAATGAGTGATAGTGCTTTATGATGCATAATTATTAAAAGGATTTTTTATGGTAGTGTTTCTTTGAGCCAAAACTCTTTGAACTTACTGGAACCAGGAAAAATGAAAAGAATATATTTGAATAATAACGCAAATTAAGGCTTCTTGATTCCTTCATAAGAATCTATCCTTTAACTTTAGAGTACAGGGAGGATTTTACACTGTGAAGTCTTCTCATAGTTTTATTATACAGCTTTATTGAGATGTAATTTACAGAACATAATATTCCTTCTTTTAAATTCACTATACAGTTCAGTAGGTTTTAGAATATTCAGAGTGTGCAGCTATTACCACTATATAATTCCAGAGCATTTTCATCACCCCAAAATGAAATTCCACACCTGTAAGAATCACACCTCATTCCTGCCTCTCGCCAATTCCTGGCAACCACTAAGCAACTTTCTGTTCCTATGGATGTGCCTATTCTAGACATTTCATATAAATGGAATCATATAATCCACATACAGATTTAAATGAAAAAAGTATTTAATATCATGTCAAGTAGCTTTCACAGTTTAAGATAGAAAGAAAATAAACTAAGTATTTAGAAAATTCATGACTATGAAATTAATATTTTATGTACTTCAGAGGCATATAAATATATTTTGTGTCTATTTCCATAATTTGGAACAATTTTTGCAATTATTGCATCATAGAATTTTCAATAGAATTATAATTCCCTGAATACACCTTTATCAGAATATATTTGAAGTTGGTTTGAATTTACATGTAACTATTGCTCAAAAAAATAAAATATATTTTACCAATAAGATCTTGATTTAAAAATAAGTTTCATTTTTAAAATACAACAGTAAAGATTATTGTGAAGTGATTTATAGTATTACATCAAATATCAAGTCCAACTACAGTCCCAAGTTACTTTATCATTCTTTAAGAAAGAACCAAATTATTGCATAATCTACCTTACTTAATTAAATATCTTATTTTCAAAGGGAAAATGCTTTTTACAGTTTGACTACTGTAGTAACAACAATTAGCTTATTCACCTTGAAAAAATTAAGTTAATGTTAGTGGAAACTAAACATCTCAAGAAATACCCTTTAATTTATTAATATCATACAATTTAATAATAGTTTCAAGTAAATTGTAGACAAAATTAACATATTTAATTTAGACAGCAAAAACACATTTTTCTTATTTTAGAGAAAACAAAATACTCACAGTTCAGTGATATTACTAGAGATTGTCCTTTTCCTCACAGTATGAGTAGAGGTAGATTTAGCAATGACTTTAACTTTCCAGCTGGAGCAAACTGGGCCTTTTCCCTATTTATCAAGGAGTGGAAAGCGGGGCACGCTGCATACACTTAGGCTCCAGACAATCTGCAGAGAAATGCTTCAGCTTATCTCAGAGACAAACTTTCCACACAATCCTCTCGGGTCAAAACAAGGGCAGTTACAGGCTAACATAAATCAAATAATAACCAGATCATCAGTGATAGAAGCCTTTGGGACTTTCAGGTCACATTCTCCCAGAGTCCCTTATTGTTTACTTAGCAAATATTTTGTTTTCTTGATTGCATTTTCCATTGTCCCATTTTGAATACAAAACATTAGTCTCTGCAAAGTACTGAGTAATAGATACAGGAAGGAAAAAAACCTTCATTAAATTCACACTCCACTAACACAGGTGCTATAACAAATTTGAAGTTAATTTTTTCATTACCTACAAAAAAGTGAACTTGTTAAACCAAATAACAGCGTGAATAATAATTCATAGATTGCTACAATGTTAGATGTATACAAGTCATCTAATCCAACTGTCTCATGTTTTTGGCAAAGAAAAACTGCAATACAAATAAATACTACTTCTTGTCCAAGTTCTCACAACTACTTAGTAGCAGAGATGAAACTCAATGAAAATCCAAGCAGCTGAACAGGATTTATAAATAATTTCACTATGATTTTTTCATGGCACTTACATAAATAAAGTTTGTTGGATACCAGGCTCATAGTCTCATCCCTTTAAGGCATTTCTACAGACGCAAGTTTACAAACATGTTTCACCACTAAACTCCATCTTCCTGGTCACACCTCCTCTGACCTGATGACTCACTTTTTTTAATCTTGTCTTAGTCCTACCCAGTTCCACTGTTGCATAAATATGGCACAGCTTCAGTATACACCTTT